ATCTTTATAACCAAAACAAATGATCAAAATATATTAAATGTGTCTTATAACCGATAGAAACTCACTTTTCAATTTTTGGAATCAAGAGTGGAGTTTCCTCTGCGGTTGACTTTTTTTTAGCCTTAGTTGAACTTAAATCATATCCAGAATCAACATCATAAATTTCTTGGAGGTTGCGCTTCAAATCACCTGATATTTTGCAAGGACTTGTTGCGGTTGACTTATCAACTGTTGAGGGTGTAAAAGTTTCGTCTGTTTGTGAGATCACATCCTAATTTTAAAAAAAAAAATGTTTGATTCCTAAAAAAAATAACTAATATAATTAAAAGTTTATATAATAAAATGAAAAACCTTTTGAACAGGCTGTACAACATCATCGGATTCCAAAGCAACTTGATTTAAGGAGACAGATTGATTACTCTAAAAAATAAAATGGAAATATGTTAATCGTTATGTACTTTAACATTAAAGAATTGTAAATTTTCAACAATAAAAAATTACATACCATAAGTTCTATTTTACTTTCCAATTCACAAACAATGGACATATCTTCTGTAACTCTGAGAACTGTGTAGATGTTATTATAGTTGTTGACATTGTATTCTGTAATATCTACAACAAAACCAAACTTGCGGTTTTTCAACACATTAAGTTGCATTGGAAATAGGGCATCACTGTCTCCGGCCTGTAAGATATATTTTAATAAATTAAAAAAATTAAGTAAATGTTTTCTGATTTTAAAGGTATGAATAATATACCGCATCATGTATCTTTTTCAACTTGTAGGCACTTATATTTAACAACCTCCTTGCTTCCCTATCAAAAAGAGTCAATCCAATGGTTCCAGTACAATCTTGTACGTTAATTGGAATTATATACCTAAAACAAAAAATAATTATGTCATTGTTAGTGTTGTTTTAAGATTGACAAAATTAATAGAAATAAATATGTCTATACTTTATAACTGACTGAAATTCAGATTTTTTGCATTGTGCATTTGTACACTCGACAACCATAGTTTCTGAAATTCCCTCAGGGTTGGTATACGAATGATTGATTTTGGGAACAGGGATAATTTTTTTTCCACATTTTTTGCATGCTTCATAATACCATGGTAGATTCTGCCTTATATTAACAATGGAAACAACTAATAAAAACTTCATTTCCTGTATCATATAAAATGTAAAAATTATTAAAATAAATTATGCAAAAATAAAATGTAAAACATATAAAATAATGCAATATACCTTAATTGGTTCGGTGATCTCACATATTGTTTTTAATGGAAAATTGCCCTTAAAGTCATCTGTATATGAAGAAGAGTAGCTTTGAAGTGTAGTTATGCTTTTTTCAGTTATACCGAAATTGTCATGACATTTCAACCTGTAATGTTTAATTTAGATTCATGAATATTAGGTTTTGTGTTTTTTTTAAGTTAAAATACATTATAAAAAAATAAAAAACAATTGGAAACTAACTTATTTTTAAACTCATTTATTTCATAAATGTCAGAATTTATGAACAATTTCGTTACTTCAAAATGACTTTTAGCTTCACCAAGACCTGTAAAAAATGTATATCCAATTATTAAAATTTATATAAAAACAGTAATTATAAACATCTATATATAAAGACTGAATACAAACCATTCCAAATGTTTAGCTTCAAAAACTGCATCACGATAACAACAAAATTAACAGTCGGGTTATTTTTTAGGTATTCTGAAATTTGATATGCTTGACTTCCAAAAATAGTAACCTTCAGATGTACAGAACTAAATAAACCATAAAATAGTATATTAATATTAATTTGTGATTAATTAAAGATAATAAATAATAAATAAATAATACAATATAATCTCACTCTAGGTTGCTAAGAGTGACTTTTATATAATGCTTGGATGGTACTGGATTTGAAGTTTCAAGAGGCCTAAATGACACGATATGTCCAATAACATCTACACAACAGATACCACAAAAAAATAAAAGTTTAGGATTAAATTCGTAATATTTAAATAATAAAATGTATAACCAAAAAAACAAATGATAAAAAATGATTTTATTAATATTTTATGACTAACCAAAGAATGTGTCTTTTGGGCATGTTTGTTCTATGATAGAATTAAAGTCAACAAACATAAATCCATTGACCGGACCCGAGAAATCATCACATTTTTTTAGGATGCTTTTCCAATCCAAAGTTAAGGTCTGTTTATGACCTGTATAACTAAAACCATTAGTAACAGCAGCCATATTGGGTTTTATAACTATATAACTTTCATCTTCCTTTAAAAGATGACGAAATCTGGAGAAACTCTGATTGAAGACACGAGCTTGGTATTGTGTACCTTGTTTAAAAAAAATTAAAAATTATTATGTTCATGAAACATGTCTACTATTGAATGATGAATAAAAAATATATCAAATACAACAAACCTCCTCATCCATGATGATCATTTCAATAGAACAAACTTTATTATTTCTGACAAAGTTCCAAATTTTAAGCACCCGAACCTTGATATGCGATTTTTCATCTATCTGGTCAATGTTATTTAGGTAAACCTTATTTCCTATTTCCATTTTCTGCAATAAATTTAATCATTATAGAATTGTAAGGAAAATTAGCAACCTTTTAAATTAACAGCAAATCAAAGTAAATGAAACAGCAAAACAAAAAAAACATATTGTAATAGTTAAAGCTTTGAGGTTGTATGGATTGGGGTTAAAGATGTTCGCATATTGGAGTCAAATGCAGTTCACGTGTAAAAGCAAAAATGTTCGCATTTGGTAATACAAATCAAAATTGGGTTTCACATATGAGGTTGTATGGATTGGGGTTAAAGATGCGAAGGTGATTATGGTTAATATTCATTTCGTATTTGGTGAGACAAACAACTCAAATGCGAATGAACTAAAAAAAATGACTGGAACATGCGAAGAAAGAGGGTGAATGAAGAATGTGAATTTTACAATAGAATGCGAATTGGGGAAGAAAGCTAAGAATTTCGCATTTTTATTATACAAATTGATTGATTGATTGATTTGTCTTAATTGTTAATTGCGATATATGAAATACTTATCAAGTTAGGGGCAATATGGTCATTTTGAAGTAAAAGAAGCCTTGGTTATTAAATGAATCATACGAAGGATCTGTTATTTGATTTTGGAATTGGGGCGAATAATCGAACGATTTGGAGTTGCGAATTTGATTTTGAAAAGCCAATCAGTTGGGTTCGCATATGAAAACAGATAAGTTTTGATTTTATAGAATAAATTTAATGACCATATTGCCAATCAGTTGGGTTCGCATATGAATTCCATTTTCTGCAATAAATTTAATCATTATAGAATTGTAAGGAAAATTAGCAACCTTTTAAATTAACAGCAAATCAAAGTAAATGAAACAGCAAAACAAAAAAAAAACATATTGTAATAGTTAAAGCTTTGAAGAACAGTTTTTTTTAAAGAAAATAAAGTTCTCATTTTTATTACTAATTTCGTATTTTGTAATCATTTTCATTAACATTTACGTCTTTTAAACTGAAAAGGTAGAAGAAGAACATGATTAAGAAGAATTAGCAAAAGGAAGAAGAAGAACATCACTAATAAAATGAAAAATGATAGAAACTGGTAAATCAGACAATTAAGAGGTTAGAAATATTAGTAATGCTGATATTTTAATACACTAACCTGATATTATAATTTTTGAAGCGTTGCAGAATCAAGAAGAATGAAGAAGAATACGTTTGCAAATATTACTACGGAGCAGAATTCGTCTGGAGCAAAATGGTAAAAGGAAAATAACCGTATGAATGCTATTTACGTTTGAATAAATAAGAATAAAAATTAAGAAGATTACGTTTGAAAAAGAATAATATTGCAGATTTTTAGGGATTTAATTTGCAATCAAAATAAACAAACTTTCAAAATTAATGCGTCTTTTTCGAATCTGAAGATTGATTAACATATTTGTTTGCAGATTTTTCCGGAATTATTGAATTTGGATTGTATGGCATTTACGTAAATATAGATGAATAAAATGAGCGGGAAAACTCTATTTTAGAGGTCTTATAGATTGACACGTGGCAGAGTTCTACTTATTTATTAGAATTAGGATCTCCGTGTTCTCACAAACTTCACCCGCGTAATTACGTACGATGATTGTATTGTTTATATATATAACTTATTAATTATAAGTTTATAAACATTGTATGGTCATATCGTAGTATTTATTAAGTATTATCTTGCTTAATTTAAAAATCAGCTAAAAAGTATAAATAAACAAATTAAACAAAACATTCAATTTTACTGAACCTATTACACGTTCAAGGGTAAAACCGACACTTGTGTAAAAACTTTGTAATGGATTAACAATGTTAGATCATGGATGTATATAATTATGTTAAATTTCAATGTGAGAAAGAATTGATTTGCCGCAGACTGGATTTATAGATTCAGCTAGAAAACTATCAACCCGATCAAAACCGCGTGTTTTATGCAATTTCCAAAATTGCATTTCATCCCCTGTTGATAAACTTCAGCCGCCACCTAATTTAATTATTTTCTAGAAACTACCAAATAACATGTTATGCATTTTTAAAATCAACAAATATCACATTTGCAATTCGGAGTGGAATCGGTTTTGGTTTGGCTTCCGGCATCGCCTGGCAATGGCTGGGCCACCACTCACACATTCATGGTACCGGAAAAAGGTGTTTTTGGACGGGTTATTTGCGACGAATAATTCCAAACAAAAGTTTCAATTTTTTTATTTTATTTTATTCAACATCAAACACCAACAGACAATCTCTAATATCTAATAATTCAAATCCGTTCACCAATCTCCATCTTAATCACCACCGAAAGGAATTTTCTCAGATTAATTAATTTCCAAAAAACGACGATCGACTGTTCTTTTCGTAGCTTTACAATTTTTCCCAATCAGAATTTTTGATTTTACGAAAAACATATTTTTTTTGTGTGTTTTTACTTGTGTTCAATTCATATTCTAACGATCTTTGCCGCTTTGACCACCGGGTTCTCCCTAGCGATCGCTTCACGGCCAGCGGTCTTGTAATCATAGCTGCAATCGTGGCGGTCTGAGTACCGGTGCTCGGCGCAGAACAAATCTCCACACCGACACCGGAAACCGGTCAAACCCACCCTCTTCCGGCATCCAGAGCATCGACTCACCTCCTTCTTCGCCACCACCGTCTCTGTCTTCTCCGCCTCCTTTAACTCTTCATTTAACACCACAACCGTCCGATCTACCACGAGATCAACCGATACAGCGCGTGGAGACGTTGACCTCAAGGATCTGCTACGAATACGATGCGACGTCGTAGAGCTAGCAGTCGTGGTTGAATTGAAGCACTTTTGACACATATTATTGGTCGCTGGGTTCCCAACGACGCCGCAGTTATTAACGCACATAGTCAGCGTCTCCGGCACCGCCTTGAATTCCGTCTCTTCTTTCTCCGTTCTCTGTGCCATTTCCTCTGATCAAAGATCGAATTCAGAACTGAAATCAAAAACACAACTCAACGATTGAAGAAAAGATCTTGAGAATTATGGGATTAATTAATAAGCTTTTAGCGTGAGAAAAATGAAAATTTAGGATTGAATGAATGAATGAATTTTGGGGCGTGCGAGGTTTTTTTTAAGGGGAAGGAGGTCGGTCAAGCGCGTTATCATCATGCGTTGGTGACCTCTGTGTAATTACAAAAATGACATCGGAGTTGGGGGTATTCCTGTAATTTCAAAACAGCATATATTAGTATATTATCCTTTCAGACTTTCGGTAAACAAAAGTAGGAAAGCCAAATTGCCTTGTACTCTACGCAATCTTTATTGTACACCACATGGTATATATATACAAATATATATAATCCAAAATTTTTGGTTAAAAAATCTTACGGCTGACAAAAAAGCAACGCTATGACTTGAATATAATATGATTTTCACCATTAATACTAGAAATAAGTTTATATATATATATAGGAAAAGTAAATATACCCTTAACGGTATATAAACTTAGATATCCAAACCCATTATAATACATCATTTTGTTTAATATATTCATTATAATGTTCTTAAACTTCAACCATTGACTTGATTTACTTTCAAAATTTTCAAAATCTCATTATTATCTTCCTCTTACATCACATTTTTTTGCCGAACACAAACTAGGCTATATATTATAGTTAAAAATGAAAATTATGTAAGCTTAGATACTCAAACTCACCATATTACATCATTTTGTATCATATATACACATTGTAATTATCTAATATTCTTTTAATTCAACTTTTAACTTGATTTAATTCTAAGATTTTTATAAATTTTACATTTATCTTCCTTTTATATAATTTTCATTTTTAACTATAATATATATAACCTAGTAGGTGTTCGATATAAATATGTGATGTAAGAGGAAGATAAAAGTGAAATTTCGAAAATCCTTGAAGTAAATCAAGTTAGGGATTGAAGTTTAAGAACATTATAATGATTATATCAAACAAAACGACGTATTATGGTGAGTTTGGGTACCTAAGCTTATATACCTATTCTTATATATATATATATATATATATATATATATATATATAATTTATTATATTTTAACTAATTATTATGTGGATATAAGAATGATTGTAGACCAATCATTTTATTTATTTTAAGAAAATCATTTATCAAATATTATTAAATTAAAAAATAAAATAAAATAATACCATTTAATTAAAAGAATGGTACAAATATACATTTTCATTACTTTCAAATTAGGAAACACAAATTTAAAAGTAGAATTTTCAGATTTTAATGAATTTTTTATTATGTTAAATGAGTTGATACGATCCGTTTATGTAATTTTCAATCCAACATATTAAATAAATTGGTGAAATCCGGGTTGACTCGTTTAAAATAAAAAAGTAAATTAATTAATTAAAGATTACACCACTTAAATTAGTTCCAAATTTAAATTAAATTTCAAAGTATAATAAAAACACAATCTCAATTCACAAATACAAATATATTTTTCAAATAACATCAAAGATATGTAAATTCGAAATGATTTCGAAGAATAACTAATGTTGATGGTATAAAGAAAAAAGATAGGAATTGTGAATGCATTTTTTAAAACATAAATAATAATACAACATTGTAATTTATAAATTAATACATATTGTTATAAAATATGATCAAATAAAAAGATAAATTATAGAGTAAAGAAAGACATGAGAATAAAGAGAACTTGTATTCCAATATTTGTGATGAAATCATCAAACTTTACAATACATAATATTCACTATTTATACTAAACAAAGAAGATGAAAGGTCATGTATGATATGAATGCACATTATAGTGGTGCATAACTACACTCATAAAACTCATAATAATGTTTGCTATAATGTTCACTAATTATGGAGAGTAATAGGGGAGATGGAGAATCCAATAGTCATTCACTAAATAATAATTCATAACACTCCCCTTCGAATGACGATTGTATCATGCCTCATTAAAACCTTAATCGGTAAAACCCTTTATTAAGGAAAAATAGTACATGATTAATAATAAATATTGGAAACAATTGCCTCGTTAAAAACCTTGCTAAGAAAACCCAGTGGGAAAAACATAGCTAAGGAAAAGAGTACAATATGTTTCCAACTCCCCCTGATTAGCACGTCACTTGATTTTCTTGAAGCATCGCATAGCAATGTTTCGTACCATTTTTTTCAAATTTTGATGTAAGAAGTGCTTTAGTAAACCAATCAGGAAAGTTGTTACTGGATTGAATTTTCTAAATATTGATGTCACACTCTTTTTGAAGATCATGAGTGAAAAAAAAAACATTGGTGATATATGTTTGGTTCTGTCTCCTTTGATAAGTCCTTCCTTGAATGGAGCTATACAAGTTGTATTATCTTCATATAGTATTGTTGGAACATCCTTGTTAGAAGTTAGACCACAATTCTTGCAAATATGTTGAGTTAAAATTCTTAACCAAATACATTCATGACTTGCCTTATAAATTGCTATAATCTCTGCATGGTTAGAATAAGCAGCAACTAAAGTTTGTTTAACAAAATGACAAGAATTTACGTTATCTCCATAAGTGAATAAATAACATGTTTGAGATCGAGCTTTGTGTGGATCAGATAAATATCCCACATCTGTATAACTAATTAAATTTGCATTTTATGAATTTGATTAGTATAAATTCATATCCATTGTACTTCGAAGATATCAAAGAATGTGTTTGACTCTATTCCAGTATCTTCTTGTTGGACAAGAACTATATGTTGCTAATAAGTTTATGACAAAAGATTTATCAGGTCTTGTATTAATAGTAAGATATATTTGTGCACCAATAGCACTAAGATATAGTTCTTCGGAAACAAGAAGATTTTCATGTTTTTTATGACGTTAAAGTTGGTCCTTTTAGCATCTAATTGCCTTACCACCTTCGGGTTACTCATGGATGTGAGTTATTCATATAAAACCTTTTTAGCACCTTTTCTAGATATTAATGTACAAAAACTTCATTTTTGTGTGCTTAATTTGAAGACTCAAATTGAATTTCATCTTACCAAAATCATCCATTTCAAAATTTTCTTTCAAACAAGAGGTGACATTTTCCAATTCTCTACGAGTTCCAATCACGTTCAAATCATATACAATAACATCAATTATGATAAATTCTTATCTGGATCTTTTTATGAATACATATGGGCTTAATGGATCATTTTTATAGCACTCTTTCAACAGAAATGTACTAAAACAATTGAAGCACATACGACCAGATTGTTTCAATCTATACAAAGATTTATTTAATTTTACCAAATATACTTCACGAGAATTAGAAGTTTGTGCTTCTAGCACCTTAAACCCTTCTGTGATTTTCATATAAATATTATTTTTCAAGTGAACCATATAAATAAGCGGTAAATACATCCATTAGACACATCTCCAGTTTTGCATATGTTGTTAAACTTATAAAATAACTGAATGTAATTGCATCAACTACCGGAGAATACATTTTTTCATAATAAATTTCGGGCCTTTGGGTAAAACCTTGTGTAACAAATATTGCTTTATATCTCACAACTTCATTTTTCTCGTTTCTTTTGCGCACAAATACCCATTCATGTCCCACTGTTCTTACTCTGTTTGGTGTACGGACTACAGGTCCAAAATTTTTCGTTGAGTAATATAATTAAGCTCTTTATTTATTTCATCTTTCCATTTTGGCCAATATTTTCTATTCATACATTACTCAATAGATTTTGGTACAAGATCCTCATTTTCATTATATTTCGGTTCCATCTTATTCTTGTTATGACATAATTTATTGAGATCTCATCATTTTCATTTTTTTCAGGGACCTTATTTTCTTTTGTTATGTCATTAGGCTCTTCTAGAGCTTCATTAATCTTTTCAAGAGATTATGTTTTCTTTTTTGGACCATCAATTGTATTTGCTTCATTTCATTTTCAAGGATTTTTATCTTTGGAACCGACTGATCTTCCACGCTTCAGGCGTGTCTAAGATTCATTTGCAGTTGTATTTTTTTTTTCCTTCTGGGATATCAATTTTAACTGGAGTAAGTATAGCTGGTACATGAGACTTTGTTACTCACTTAGGGTTAGTAAATGCTTCTGGAAATTGATTTGCTACATTTTGTAAAGGAATTATCTTTTTTATTTCAAGTTCACATTGACTTGAACGAGGACCTAAAACTGAAAGTGACAATTCCTTTCAAGAGATTTTATTTTCCAGCTTCTTTATTTCTCCCCCTAATGTTGGAAAATATGATTCATCAAAATAATAATCATCAAATATAGCTGTAAATAAATCTCAAATTAATGATTTTAAATATTTTACTATAGATGGAGATTCATATCCAACATAAATTCTCATTCTTCTTGAGGACCCATTTTTGTGAAGTGAGGTGGAGAAATGGGTACATAAATTATACATCCAAACATCATTGGATGGTAAATAATTGGTTCCTGACCGCAAACCAGTTGAGTAGGGGAGAACTCATGATAACTAGTTGTCATTATGCATATAAGTGATGTTGCATGTAAAATTTCATGCCCTTATGTTGATTAGGAAGTTTATAATGCATTAGCAATGGTCTTGCAATTAATTAAAGGTGTTTGATTAACGACTCAGCTAAACCATTTTTGTGTATGAACATATGCAACATGATGTTCAATAGTTGTCTTAGTCAATATGGAATAATCATTAAAAGCTTATGATGTAAATTCTCTAACATTGTCAAGTCAAATTTTCATAATTGGGTAATACGGAAAATGTGCCCTTAGGCAAATTATTTATGCAAGTAATCTTGCAAAACCAAATTATGACTAGACAACAAGCACACATGTGACCATCTAGTTGACGCGTCAATTAAAACCATAAAATATCTAAATGGTCCACATGATGTTGGATGAATTAGTCCATATATATCCCCTTGAATTCTTTGTAA